CTTGACTCCCATTCTTCCTAGCTCTGGGAGAAGGCGATCGCTGACCTGCTCATTGGTGGGACACTGTAGCGAGCAACAATGGTGATTATATTGTTGAGTAAATTCTATTGTATGCTGAAAAAAAAACAAAGTAAAAGTACGTATGCATGCGAGAATATGTATGGGTAATAAAATACATGCTTCTCACATGTACATGAACGCAAAGCGTAGAGATGAGTCGGTGCACTCGTAGTTGGCACCGCTACTACTGACGTCGTTGAAAATCGAATTCCATAGCAGCCACTAGGCCTTCCATTCCTCCTAGTTCGCATAATTGGTACCTAGTCCATGGGAACACGCTCTGATTAGCCCCACCAGTCGCTTACTTGTCAAAATAATGAATGATTGGAGTGGCACTAGGATTCTAAAGCCGATTGCGTCGCGCATTCCAAGAAGGAGTGGCCGTCAATGAACTTCGCTTCTTTTTAGGTCTATGGAGCAAATCATGGGCTACTTTCAGTGCTATGAAGATATCGATTAAATAGACTGATTATTATTTTGTTGGGTATATTGTTGAATTAAATTCTATTTTTGTATAAAAAAAAGAAATAGAATGGATGAAAAACTTAGATTGAAAGTAACAAAAATACACAATGGAACAGCCCAGTCAGTAGGTGGAACCAATGTCCGCGCCTCTGTCAATCCAATTTTCTTACGTATCCATCCATATTTCAGCTACGAAAAAGAAGGTTATCGATCCTTTCGATCCAGAAGCGAGTGTGCCGCTACCGTACCAACTCGAAGAACAGTGAGTGCATTTTTATGACAAAATTCACGATTATCTAACGACAGTAACTATAGCACGGCGCTCGGCATTTTCGTGACACTGGTAATACCGCCAACGGAATTGAGGATACACCTCACGACCGGGGTTGAGCGCGCGTTGAAGAGTCCTCGTCATGTCGACAGGGAGGTCGTACTGGCCCGCTGGGAGGAAGAGATCGGGCCGGATCGATGCAGTAGGGTCATCACTGTGGGCCAACCAACATCAAGAGTCGAATCGATGCCATGGAAAGCCAGATTTCCAATAACGGTGTGATTCCAACCACATGAAATATTCATGATTCAGAGGTGTCCCCGTAGTAATTCTTAGTTATTCAGTGTTTTATCACGACACAAGTTAAACACTCCGAAATTCGCACGTTTTCCAAGGGAGATTTTATCTTTCAAGTGAGTCCTGGAATCAGAAGGGATTTGAAGCACTGGGCGCATCCCAAAGTGATCCCATTCACTGCACTCGCTTCAACCACGGCTCTCTGGAGAAAGAATCCCGATTCCGGAAAAATCAAGAGGATTCTCAAAGGGTTCATATGAAATTACAGGGAGGGGTACACTATTCAATAAGAAATGCAGCCTTCAGCGTCAAATTCATGAACATATACTAAGTGTTAAAGCTGAGCAACGCCAAACAATTTTACACTTAATGGAAAGGCTGGTGGATTCCTACTCTGCTCCCACTCTTGCACAAAATCGCCTTTGAAAGTAGGTATAGTCGTTGAAATAGTGCCAATGCAACAGAAAATATATACCTTTCGGCGGTAATCGGGCAAAAGTCCTCAACGTGACCATTTTTAGATAGCGAATGTATTTAGCAGCTCCAGTATTCGCTGAATAGAGCAAATCTTCTAGTTTATGACGACGTACTTTTCAAACAGGACGAGATTGAACGGAGTTATGGCCTTGAAAAAGTCAAAACTCGCCCTAATCACGAATTTTCCTCGTTAATTTTGCAAAAATCCTCATCGATCATTTCTCAAGTACTGGACATAGTGAGCTGTCTCAGCAACCATGGACTAGAGCGATTCTTCTACTTTTGTTTGCAGTCTTAACTTTCCAGATGTGAGTAAAAAGAAGCAAGCTGGCTTCAAAAGTTTTAAAAATCGCGCTCAACCCGTAACTCCTTCTTTAATCAATCTAAATTTGTTATTTCTCATCATTTTTATAATTTCAATTCTGATTGAAAAAACTCACGAAACCCCCAAATCTGCATGCATATTGAAAATTTGTCAAGTTCTAAGAAAATTATAGTCATTTAAATATGTGTTCAAATTTCAATAGTAGATAAGCTGCTCCACGGTCAACGCCAAAGATCAATCAACACAGGGCTGCCGGCTAAGGCGGTTATAAGAACTCTTTCAACCGAAAAGTGGACGTGTAGTTTGAGAAGTATACTCTGTGTAGTTCAAAGACGTGGTATGCCTTCTTAAGGAACGAAAGGAAGAAGAGGTTCTGTCATAGTATACTTTCTTCATGAATAGTTCGCCGTTTTTTGCTCCAATTGTTGGTAAGATTCATTGCTCATGAGTTTTTTTTTTGACTTCTTCTTCTTTGGTACTTCTTGATTTTATGGTGGAGGGCGGGGTGGGGTACCAAAGCTTTTTTTCTGATCAGTTCTCGAGGAGGATAAAACTAGAGAGGGTCGCTTCATAGACTTCGGCCTCTGGGAGAGGGGGTGGGTCGTATTTCGAAATTTTCCTTGACCCTTCCGAGGCCTCCATATGGTACCGGAAGAATGGAGGCCTGCTTGGCCTGTGAAGACTAACCTAAGAAGAATCCTGTGCGACCGTTACGATAGGATGACTGAAACGAACAACCTATAACAACGATAACACTAAAACAGCGCAAATAAATACAGAAATTGCAGCGATTCGCTGCGAGCATTGGGTAAGTCGAGTGTATAGATCAGGGGCCAATTCAACGGGAGCTGTAACGCGGTAGGTCCCTGGGTTAGATTCGCTGAAACCCGTTCCAAGCCATTGAAATCTTCACCCTCGATGAAAAAGTTCCGCTACCCCATTTCATTACATGTGGAGCAGTATGTGGTCGATGAAAAGGTTCCGCTACATCATTTCATTACATGTGGAGCAGTATGTGGTAGGGTTAGATATTAGCAGTATGTGGTAGGGCTAGGTTTGGTACTACCAGGCAGTATTCACGTTGCTCTGAAAGCCTCACACTCGGAAAGATAGGTCTTTCGAATTTTGTTCAGACAGCGTCGAAGACGCTGAAATTTTCATGCGAGTTTTTGCAACTAAAAAGGCAATATCTCTCTACTTTCGTATGATTCCGAAAAAAGGCACACATTTTCGGAAAGCAAAAGCTACTCTTTCTAATTGTATAAGCTTTCTTTTAAGTATTCTCGTTAAGGAGATATTTGAATTTTTTTTTTATTTTTTATTTTCGAATATGTAGGGCTCATTTCGGCCAACCAAATGGCTGCTCTCTTCTTCACCGTTGCAAGTGTAATTCGTTCGCAACAATGTAAATGTGTCTAGAACACACTCCTCCGATGTTATGGATGAACAATAAATGACCTCTTTTGTATCACTTGTTTTGAGTTCTCTCGAAAACATCTCCCCTATATAGCCTCTGCCTTCAGTATGGTTTAGTTTATGAACTCCGAATAAAGCTACACCTTCTGTACGGCTACCGACATAAACATCCGACGTAAGCGATAAGTAAAAGGGCAATCTTCGTCGTCCGATTTCGACTCCTATCTGCACCACGATGCCACTGAAGATACTGACCGTCACGAGTACGACTTTCTCATGACCCACCCTGACAAATGTAACCCTCCCGACAAGGACGTCCTCGGCCGATATCCACCTTGCTCGGGGTTGTAGACAATCGCACAAGCGTTGATGTCTTATTTCTTTCGCGGTCTGAAAGTGCGCTACGAATGCGCAAGAAGCCTGCTTTACTTGCAATCCGCCCCTTCGTCCGCAAGCCCCGCCCTCCGCTGTCGGTTGCTATGTGGCGCTGCTTGAGAAGCGCCGGCACAATTGCGATTCAATGTCAGGCACTAGAGCAGCTAATGGTAGGTTCGTGAAACTCGTCCAACACGACACTTCTCTCCAATAGTGGGTTGCGACTGAGAGTTTCGTCTTCTTCCGTTTTTTTTTCCAAACGACACCCCACTTCTAGCTTCATTATTTAACGTTCTTCCAGACCTATCTTATCTTTAACACGTTGGCGGCGATGTCGGTCAATGGTGACCGACATCGTCCCATGTGACCGACCGACAGCTTGAAAGTAAGCAAACTTAGATGTAACCCGCGACTTTTTATTTCAACGTTTACCTCAGTGTCCTAAGTTCCCCGTCACTCCTAGTCACTTGTCTGCAAATTATGATCTTTCTAATTCCTGGGAGTTTTTTTTTCTGAAATAGTTATCTATGACAGAAACGCGCTGTCAATTGAATCACAACCGCAAGTTCTCACCGTCAGCAAACTGGAAATCTCACTAAAAATGTTCATATCGACCTTTACTGATTAGGTTACCGTAAGTAGAATGTCCATTCCTAACCTTAGGTTTCCATGATGGTCGACTAGGCTTAGTCTTACTCATCACCTCTATCACCTTTCGTCCCGTTGATCGTCGATTTGGAGCGGGCGTCAGCAACGTCTCCATTCGTCACTGTCGCGTGCTACGGTGGTCCAGTGGATCCTCCTTGCTCGAGGGACACGAAGTCCATTATTCTTTTCGTCTTACTCATAGGCAGGACAAAAGTACCTATCCAGTCCATCAGCGGCCAAATATTTCACAAACAATTTTTTGACATTGAAATGATTCGTTTAAATTTTTTATTCGATCATAAAGAACAAGATAACACTCAAACAAAAGCTCATTCCGTCAGGTACGCAAAGTTTTTGCGCCGCTCTTGAGTGAAAAATTCGTAGAAGATTTCAGATGTGATCAGGACCAGTGCCATCTAAAGGAAAGTTCATGATAATAATAAAAATGAAGAATGCGTTGAATTGCGTCTTCCGAACTTATTCTAACCTGGAGTTTGAGAATGCCAGGCGATGTCACTGAAATTTCACTCAGCAGTCAGTAGTAACAACTTTCCCTTGTTCCTAAACATGCTGAAGGCATTTTGTGCATTTCGAGATTTTACAGGGCTACAAAACACATCCTGCCCTATGCTACCGGAGCTTTGCATGCAAAAAAGGCCTCGTCCGATGCGTGCGACAAGGAAAAAATCGCTCGTCGTCAACGTGTTGAGCTTTCCTTCAGAGCCACAGGTTGGGATTAGGCGCCAAGAGGAGGTCCCTAATAGAACGAGAAAAAAGAGGTTCCCTAGCGCAGTAGGCGTCTGACTGTCGCCAAAAGTGCGATACATCAGCACCTTGCCGCGTGTGCTGCCGTCTGTTACCCTTGTAGGCGGCATACGTAGCGTTTGCGCTCTCTGGTGTACAACATGCTCTCTCGTGTTTTTCCTCTCCTCGCAGCATAATGTCTCTGCATCATATAACGGTCAACCTCACAAAGAAACTTCTGCGTTTTCCATGAAGCTTTTTGCTTTTTCTTCCCACTAACATTCCTTAGCTCTATTATTGTCTACTTTCCGAACAAAGTGACACCCGAAATTGATTCCGACCCGTGTCCTCAATTGTATGCGTTCCTATACCATACGGCGGCTCCATCTGATTGGTCTGTAGAGCCGCAGAGCGCAATGGAGTGGCTCCTAACAACTCCATTTTCATACTTCTAATAACTGGACTTGACCTCATAGGAATATTACAGTCTTCTTCAGCTTGCTGTTTTTTTTTTGAAGCACATTGCTCTTAGTTTTGTTAGGCCCTACAGCACATCGGTGTGGAAACGAAACGAACGTGAGCGCTATCGAGTTCGATGTGTGAACAATGGTTACGAGACGTTGCGGAAACATTTGCCCGTATCCGATGTGTAAGTTTGAAGCTCTGTCATGTCGAATTCCTCAGTTGTCTCGCTCTGTAATGGCAAAATTTTTCAGAGTTCATGGAGCGCATTTTTTCAACCAATAGACCCGTCTTTCTCTTCATCAGATTTTCAATTTTCACGATTGCACAAAGACCCGTTATTCAGGGAGAAACGTATTTCAAAAGTCGACACCTTGCGACTGGCTATTCGCTACATCAAACATCTGGAAGCTGTACTCAAGAACGAGGAGCACATTTTTAAGTAATATTATACATCTTACACTTTAATCTCGCTAGAACTAGCGACTGTTGACCCTGGAGACCTAATAACTCGATTGATGCGAAGAAAATTCAGCGCCGCTCAAAAACCTGGTAAACCGCTACGGGTGCATACTTCGGATTGCCTCGTCCCATTAGGGTTCGATCCTGTCAAAATGAATACATTCCTCCTTCTTTGAGCTAATATTCGTCGTAACCCCTGATTTAGTCTGTTTACGGGACATTATTCATATAAACAACATTGCTGTTCACTGAGGTCTCCATCCTATTTTTTTCCACGAGAGAACTTCCGATCCGTTTTACAGATGTAACTGCTTCGAAGGATTTGCCGAAGAATCGGAAGGGCATGTGCAGATTGACGTGAACGTGAGAAATGTTGAACAACGATTCATCGAGAACCAACTCAAATATTCTTAGTTGATCTATCGATCTCTTGAATTATTTTTTTTTTCGCAAACAAATGCGACTATTCCTAGTCCATCCATTCCTTCTTTAACGGGTGTATGAATTTTTTCTTGCGGTTGTTCCATGAACGTATGCTCTTCACTTCACGGGAATTCGGTGAGATTAATGTTGTGTTTGAGCACTTCCGAAATAAAGCATGCAAATAAGAAGCTTGTTCAAGGAGACTGATTTGAAGCATAGAAGATCCTTACTGTAAGTGTGAGCTTCGCGGGTTTTGATATGAGGGAGGTGGACTCAAGTAGTTGTTCAATAGTGCATTCACAGGGTTCAAATTAATAAAAACAGTTTGTTCAATGGCTTAACCCTTCGATAACGTCGTTAAAAGAAGCCTGAACGGGTTCAAGGAGTAGATTCACACCCTATCCCGTCGAGCCCCTCATTCTCTCTAAGGTTCCATTGAATAACCTTGTAAGCGCAAGAATTTAAAAATTTCCAACTAAGTTACAGAAAGAAGAGAGAAGCAGCGTTAAGATTGCATCACTCTGAACAGTAGCGTAGTCTCTGTTGAACATGTGTCAAACTCCACGGCTTACATTTCGGACTACATCTCGTGGTGAGGCTAAACCTCGATAGAGGACCTGATTTCTCATCCAGGTAACTCAGAAATTCGGTGAAGGACATTAATGCAATAAAATAGGACCAAAAGAGTAGTTTTCTTTTCTGCGATCCCGTGAGTTTCACTATCCCGGATCTCAGGAAAAACATGCAGAAGGAACTGGAACGCAATGCTCTGCTAAACTATTGGTGGGTGACTGGAACGGTGAAGATTTCAAACAGTACCACGTGTCATCTAACTACTGCTCACAATAAAATAAGCTGCGCTAGCGCCACGGTTTATCAAGCCAGAGGAACATAGTGCAAAGGCGAAACAGTGATTAGCTAGTGTCAGGAGCCGGAAACGACGATTACGTGAGAACTTTTTTTATCGACCAAAATCAACAGGTGAGAAAAGCTACAAGGTTCAAACTTCCAGAACGCTTGCCTGAGATCGTAAAAAACCAAAAGAAAAGGAAGCATATTTTCTGCAAAATGCAGTAAATCCCTGCTATGGTGTGGGTTCTCAACCAGTGTCAACCGTCATGTTGGACAAATTTCAAAAATTTTACGTACCCCTATTGGAGGGCCTAAACACGATCCCCCCCCAGCTGTTACTATAGTAATTGATACTGAGAGATCCTGAGACCAGATAACACATACAACTCCGCTCCCACGTTTCCTCTAGAATAGCCGTCGAGCGGGTGGAGGAGTATATGTATATCAACAATGAATCGGCATTTTTTTCTTAGCACTCACAAGGCGTAAAGCGCCACAGTACGACCCCCCCCCGTTGGTGTAGGATTGACGCTGCCTCCGACATTGCGAATACGACCCCCTCCCCCACCCTTTTCCTCGGCAGAATTCGTTCCCCTCGTTGGACTTTTCCAACGGACGGTTGACCCTGGTCTTAACTGCTCGCCACTCACCACCACCGTTTAAAAAAGTGAAAAAAAAACTAAACACAGAGATTTAGCTAACGGATGTTTCGGTGCGCGATCTGTTACTAATGAATGCATCTAGTCACTACAAGAGGATGTAATCCTGAGAAAGACGTAGCTTCTGCATGGGAGGTGAAAACTGTACTGGGCTAATGTCATGCTATTTAACCGACTACAGATCCTCAAACGAATGGCTCCCCTATGCATGGTCAACCACCCGTTGCAATAAGAACAACAAGGGAGTCGTATTTGGCCAATGGAAGAGAAGGATGTCGTCAACTCAACTGCCATTCACAGATTTAGAAGCTGTCAAGGCGTGGCTAAGTGGAAAAGGAGGTCAGAATTCGAACTACCGTTGCGGCTACGCATCACATACGATTGAATGGCGCATCCTAGAGCGATATTTCCTACTAAAATACGTACGTCATGTTCCAGTAAGCATACGCAAAAAAGTCTTCCAGAGAAGCTCCATGTTTCTAGGACAAATTAAAGTGAAGGAAAGTGCAGCGAGTGTGGCTTATCGACTTCCGGAGTACTAATGAAACCCTATAAAAAGAGAAACGTTTTCCTTCCAAGATAATCTAGCACCTGACATACAGTACTGATCCTTCTGATTTCAGTGGTCTTCATCGCTCCCAATATGCTGATTTTGAAGGAACTTATGGCCACTTGAAGGTTGAAAAGTTGCGTTTCAAGAGAATGGCCTAGAAGTTATTGAGGGAAAAACGGAACAACAGGACTTTTTGAAAGAGCGGTCATTTAGAAGAGTCCTGATATTTTTTTTCGAAGCGGCGTCAATCCTCTAGTTTGTGATAGAAAAGGTTAATAATGAAGGAAGTGATGAACGTTTGCCTCGCGCCTTCTCAAAAATCGGATCACAAACCCTAAAAAACGGGACAACGGGACTTTTTTTTGAGAGAGACATCTTTGGGGCCAGATCTGGCGCTCTTTCGAAAGCGCTAATCTTCTTGCTTCTTATCAGCTTCAAAAATCTGCAAAGAGTTGCTAACGAATGAAGTTATGAACGTCGGAATGACGAAAGCTCGCGTGTGCACAAAAATGGAATAACGGGACGAACGGACGAATTGAAGAGTTGAACATTTGAAAAAATTTTAAAACTTTTTTAGAAGAAAACAATTTAAAGTTTCTAAATTTTTGCACCCCATCTCATGACACTTCTGAAGAGGTTATATTAGAGATAGGACCTTTTCACACGTTGACGATATTGCGCGTTTTGGGTTTTTGCACCGCGTGGGACCAGGGCGATTTTGAGCGCCGCCGCCGCACACCAAATCCATAGATTTTGAGCTGTAAATATGCAATACTTATATGCGCCGAATTATTTTTATTAGTGTTCGATCTATCTGACTTACCGGGAGTTACAGTAAAGGAAGTACGACCGAAATGATGTGTTAAGGCCTTGAAAAGGCAAATTTTACCCACTTTCCCTTCAATGGTTCCAGAATTAATTTGGACGTGGTTGTTTCAGTAAAACACATATCTTACCATACGAATAAGTTTGTATAGGCCTCTAATATTCTTTTTTATTCACATGTTCGCGTTAATGAAAAGAAACTGAGGAATGAATTGAACGGATATTTTCGTCAAGTTTGAAAAACCTCTGCCAAACCTAAGAATAATTGGTCATTCTGCAACCAACGTGATTCTTGGTTATGTTGATGTATGACCTTTGAAATGAAACCAAAAACCTAGGAAGAAATCTAGCATGTGCGCAAAAAATAAATGTAATCAGTGTGGCATACATAGCTGCCACAATGTCCATGGAGGAGCAAAATGGCAGCATACATAGTTGACGCGCTGTCGTCAAGGTGTAAGTGACTTGTGTGGTACCGTAATTGTGCAAGGTTCAGTACAGTTTATAAAAAAGACTTGCGAGTTCGAAAAATTTGGCTGGTTTCCGAAAGTGGAACTCTTTGCAATTATTACCATGCCTAGGTTAACGTAAATTTGGAGATTGCTTCTATTCGTTGAGCTAAATTCCATGGTGCCTCGATCCACGTCCTCTGAGCGAGACAAAGCGCGCGGATTTACCACTGTTCGCCATCTCTCCATGTCTTTGACGGCCCATACACCGATGATGGGCCTAACATATGTAACAAGAAACATCAGTACTACAGGAGGGAGGCGTAATGATACCCTCCGAAAGGGAGGGAGTCTTAAAATTGAAATTTGCGCATAAAAAAATAAATTAAATAAATTCTAGGCCATAAATTGGCCTAAAATTTCTCAGATAGGGTTGACCCTGCCCCTATCCCTTGATTCCAATAGAGCCCTATCTGAGAAACTAGGGGACAGAGCCTGCTCTTTACCATGTACCCACACAGAAAAGTTAAAGCTTTTTTCTGCAATGTTAGAAGAGAACACTCTAGAATGCCATGTGTTCCACAGCGGAGTTGTGTTTGAACAAATGAGTCATAATCACTGCGACAAGGAGACATGTCGAGTAAACAACATGTGAACGTCTGGATGTGTCATCAGTTGAAGATACATTCATTTTGGAAGAAGCTACAAGATGAGAAACGTGGTGCTATTTATGGGGCACCCTGTAGGATGCATGAAACTACCGCTCGGAAAGCTCAGATCAAACCATCTCGTAACTTTTCTTATGTTATACCATCAATACCATCTCTTGTCAACCAAGCTTCCTTTCTCTGCACTTTTTGGGTTTTGCAAGCCTTCTGAAATTGCTTACTGATGGGATGGCCCTGATGGCAACATGGCATTCATTGCTAGCCGTGAGCACCATTTTTACATCACCGGAGCGTTAATTGAAAATGCGAAACTTCGGCACCACGGGAGTATTGAACCATAGTCCAATTTTTCATCGCCCTTTTTGTCGTTCTGGGGACCGCTCAAGAAAAGTGGAGCCTAGCTGCACGTTCCATGCACGTCTGCCTATGTAATGCAAAATACCGTTTCGAGAAAGCCGGAAAGGACTTGAAAAGCTTCCTGGTGAGATGTACACCAAGTTTACGCGCTTTGATGCTGGGAAATGTACACAAAGACTGGAGTTTGCAGGTGGTTTCTGGACATATACAGGGTGGTCGAAAAGTATAGGACGCGGATTTGACCGCTTGCTGGCACTGAGCCGTGGTATTTTCAGGGTGTTTCGATACTCTTCGAAAGTACTGGAACTATGTAAGAAACACCATAAGTTGTTTGGTCCAAGGTTCATCTGAATTTCCGCCACGGAGATTTTCTTGCACCGACTCATTACCAAGAGGCTGCCCAATGACGGTCTCTGAATTGCAACTTCGGAAACGGACCCGGTATTCCCTCTTCACCTCTGTGAAACACGTTTGGTACTCTCAAGGTTTGAGCACACGTCTTTGGGATTGCGAAAAGTGGAAGCTCAAGAATTGTGCACACTCAGAGGACTGAGGAAGTCGCCTAGAAGAGAATGGCTCACAACGATGAAGCCAGCTGAGTCACATCGCTTCTGATCTCAGGATCTGC